TGTTCACTCAAAAATCACACAAGAATGTTATAAAAGAACATGAGAGCTCATTTGCTAAAAAATTGTGTATGCACGAGAGCTCATGTACTAAAAAATTGTGCAAGAGCTTGAAAACTCATAATCTTTAACAAGCAAGAACTTGTTTGCTCAGAAATCACGCAAAAGCTCAAAATAAGCTCGTAATCTTCAAGGCACGCAAACTCTTTTACTCAAAAATTGTGTAGGAACATTGTAAAAGAACACAATAGCTCGTTTCCTTGAAAATTGCATGAGTGTAAAGAGCTTGTTTGCTCGAAAATTGCAAGAATGTTGTAAAGGAACACGAAAGTTCTTTTGCTTGAAAATTGCATACGTGTGAGAGCTTGTTCGCAGCACAAGAGCTCGAAAGCTTGGTCTTGTTTTGTGTAGGCATCAATTTATGTTGTTTCCAACAATTTTCTTTAGAAACACAAGAACGATGCTATTTTTATAAATATTGGCAAATGACTTTTGCTTAGCAATTTAAAGAAGAAGAAAAAACATATAAGTATAAATAATACATCTTCAGCAATAAATTAAAGGTGGAAGATCAAATCTTGTATTGACTAGCCTCGTGTTCTTCCATCTAGATGAAGCTAGTGACGTATGTTCTCTACTCATTCGTGTTGGCAAGCTTGTCACAATATAGGTCGTTGGAGAGCACCCCCTTTCAATGCATTTAGCATGACTGTTAAGATGATTTAGGGATAAAGGTTTCATATTTTGTTAGCAAGAATGAGAAGCTCTCCATAAAAGCTTGAAGTGATTCATTGTCATCTTGGCTCATGTTAAGCAACACTAAAGTTGAGGTCTCATGAGGCCGACTAGTTGTGAAGTGTGCTCTAAACCGCTACTTCAATATGGCATAACTATGCTCAATAAGGGGGATGCAAGTATACCATAGTATTATGGGGCCTTTGAGCGTTGTTGGGAAGATCTTGTATATGATTGCCTCGTTTTTTGTGTACAAGTGTATTATGGTTTCATAGGCATGAGGTGCTCATCTGGACATGTTGACCCATCATATGCCTTCATGGTGATGTGTTTCCATTCTCAGGACAACGGTACATTGATTATGTGGTTGGTAAAAGGGTAATTATGACATTCACCGATGAATTATTCTAGTGTGATTCGTCGATGAGGTTAGCCTTCTTGGCCGAGCTGAGAGCCCCATGTAATAGGGGTGTCTTTGGTGGGTTAGGAGGTTATGTATTCCTCCCTTGTAGAGTTACTCACTCTTGTGCAAATATTGATGTTCTTTTGTCGCAAAGCTTTGAGCTCTTATACATATCACTCACAATCAGCCTCACACTATTGTAGAGGGTTTCCAAGACTTCTTTATTACGCTTCTGCATGGCCTCCATGTGTTTTAGGAGTTCAAAAATAGATAGTGTGACAAGTGGCACAATGGTGGCGGCAAATGGTGCCATAAGCACTAGAAGCGACGTCAAGAGCATCAAGATCAATCCAGAGATGGTTGACTGTTGCGGAGGTTGTTGTTGCTCATTGTTTGGTTTTGAGTAAAAACCATGTGCAGTCAGAGGATAGTTTCACTTTAGTCTCATGATGGATGTTAAATATTTTTACCAAAATCCTATAATTGCTCCAACGGCGGGATAACATCCTTGTTACTCCAATATTTGCAACATTTAAGAATGAAATTTTTGTCGAATGATACCTGAATTGTGCTAGTGTGATTCATGGATGAGGTTAGCTTTCTTGGCCAAGCTGAGCCCCATGTAGTAGGGGTTTCTTTGGTGGGTTAGGAGGTTGTGTATTCCTCCATTGTAGAGTTACTCACGCTTGTGCAAATATCGATGTTCTTTTGTCACAGAGCTTTGAGCTCTTACGCACATCACTCACAATCAGCCTCACACTACTGTAAAGGGTTTCCAAGACTCCCTTATTATGCTTCTGCATGGCCTCCATGTGTTTTAGGAGTTCAACAATAGATAGTGTGACAAGTGGCACAATGGTGGTGGCAAATGGTGCCATAAGCACCACAAGCGACGTCATGGGCATCATGATCAATCCAGAGATGGTCGACTGTTGCGAAGGTTGTTGTTGATCATTGTTTGGTTTTGAGTGAAAACCATGTGTGGTTGGAGGATAGTTTCACTTTAGTCTCACGATGGATGTTAAATATTTTTACCAAAATCCTACAATTGCTCCAACGACGGGATAACGTCCTTGTTACTCCAATATTTGCAACGTTTAAGAATGAAATTTTTGTTGAATGATACCTGATGTTTAATATATAGATGATTGATATTATCTTTAGGTTTAGAGATAATGTCGTATGATATTTTGGAGATATATTTCAATGATTGCATGGAGATATTATTATTAATTAGTGGAGATATTGTTTTTAATAAGTGGAGATATTTGTGTTTGATTACGATATTCTACAAGATATTTGTGCTAAGATATCCTGTTAGTTGTTAGGAGTTAATCCCTTAGAGTTTCACTTTGTGATGATGGATTGAAGGCCTAGTGTGAGTGAGTAGGAGAAGGCCAACTCAACCTAATAAAGTTGAGCGATACATTAAATATGCCTCTCTAGTTAATAAATGTACCTCTTTTAGCATTTTTTCTTCACAATTACCCCAATATTTAATAAAGAAATTTTTGGAATACATTTAGACATATCCATATTCCTTCTCTTTGTCTTCTCTCTTGCAGTCGACTTTTGCACGCTTTTGAGAGAAAACAAAAGTCACCACCACTCGTTTCCATCTCCTTCTCCTTCTCTTATTTTATTTTTCTTCCATTGTTTTTTTTTCTTTCTTTTGAACAACAATGACTACAACATTGAAGTGTTAGTTGGTTGCTAGAGTTATCAAAGTTGGTAACCCGGTCTGGCTTGACCCACCATGGGTTGGGCAATAGGTGGGTAAGCCCAACCCAACCTGACTCACTAAGCTTAAAAAAAATCAACCTAATCAAAGTCATCACAGGTTTATGAGTTAAACAGATTGACTCACTTAGATTAAAATATATATATGAAGTGAACTTAAAAAAATCCAGCTCAACTCATTACAAGTTGGTGGGTTAAATGAGTTGGTTTGCTTCTACTAAAAAAATTATTGAACTTTATAAAAAAATACATATTATAATCTTATATTTTAGAATTACAACTATGTTAACAAATAGGACAAATAAAGTTTCAAAAAATATACATCATCCACAACCAACTTAACTGACTAATAAAATAAAAGTTGTTGTATAAAATATTGACAAATAATATCAAATTGACACTAATTATCATAATTCATAACTAGTATGTACAAAATTTACTCAATGATACAAATATATAATTGCATAAACTAACATTTGGTAACCTAACAAATAAAATATAAAAATAAAAAATATACTAGGTGAGTCAACCCAACTCACCATGAAATTGGCTCGTAATGAGTTGTAAGTGAGTTAGGCTAAAGTTTTCTTATAACTAGAATGAATCAAAAAAATTTAACCCAATTTGGCAGAAACTCATGATAAGTTAAGTTGACTCACGAATTTTAACTTACTTTGATAGCTCTATTGGTCGCACTTTCATTGACAAAACCGTCATCCATAGGAACCATCGTAAAAAATTTTAAAGGGTGATTTTGGAAAAAATGTTAAAGGTGGTACACTTATGAAGGTGATAATTTGCCTTAAAAATTAGGCATGAAAGGAGGTACTAGGACAATTTTGTCTATTTTTTCTTTAAGTTATATGTAAAATTATTTTAAAAAGAAGTGTCTTAATCTCTCTAGTTAGATAAGCTGGGTTGAGTTAGAAAAATTATGACTAATGTAAAAATTGACTTAACCCATTTCTCATACTTTACTTACTTGACAACTCTACTTAAAATACTGAAAAAAATTTAAATTAATTCCTCAACATTAGTAAAATAGATTGTTGTAGAAACTAAATCGATGAATTTTTAATACTTGAAGAACCATTTATATAATTTAATTACTTTAAGAATTATTTAAAAGAGAGAAATATAGTTTAAGAATCAAATTAATAGTTTATATCATAGATCTTACATTAACTAATAACATAGTCAAAATAAGATATAAAATTGAGAAAATCCTCTCTTCATAAGTAGTTTTCTAAAAATAAGTCAGCTCTCTAATTAATTTCAAACAATTTACTCCAAAATCGAACAAGTATAACATTTGAGAATAGTTTTATTGAAATGTTTTGCTAACCAAATAAGAGATATTAAAGTTTTTTTTAGAAGATCAAAGATCTTGTTAGCATTTATGTGGAGGAGAGGTCATAAACACTACAATTTATTTTATTTTAGTCACATCAATGTAAAATCTCAAATAATTCATTTTAATATCACATTTGCACAATGTGTGAAAATAATTTTTTTCATGAATATAATTCAAATAATGTCTTAAAGTAATAATTAATGACTAATTCTATGTTCACCGGAGTGAACACAAGTTTATTTGAATGATCTGCGTTCACGGGAGTGAGAATAATTTTGTTTGAATGATCTGCAAACAAAATAAGAGAGTAAATATTATTTCAGGTATAAAAGATCTAATAAGTAATTTAATGTAAAGAAGGAGAGGTCACAAATGCAGAGCACTAAGGCAATTTTGTTTTTCTTGTAAAAAATTTGCTCCAAAATCATATGTTTTATTGGAATGTTCTGTGAACAGGACAAGATATATTAGAGATTTTTTCAGGGGATCAAAGATCGTGAAGGAGAGGTCACAAATACAAACAAAGGAAGGATATTTGTTTTTCTTGACAACAAAAAAATCAGTGAAGGGCAATTTGGTAATGCCACAGAAAAACTTGGTGACCTTAATTGTTCCAACATCATTCTCACTCTCTTCAACGTGGCAACTTGGTGCAATTTACCAAGACCACCTTGATTTTGAGATAGCAACAATACCATACACAAATCACAAGGGCAATCCTGTCTTTTCATGCTGCACTTCCTCCCCTCCACAACCAACACCACCATATCTCACTTGAGTTCTCTCCCTTTGGCATTGGAGATTGGAACCTCAACAAAGACCAATGGCTCTGAATCTGTGTATATCCCCTCAGTGTAAATGGGTTGCCTCTCCCTCCTTAGATAGTGCTTCTTCTTTGATGCCATCACGAGGGTCTGCTTTTGTCTCAAAGAGTGGCAACATAAACATTGCTAGTGTGAGTTTGAGTAGTACTACTAGAAGTTTGAGTTTTAGGAGGAGTGGAAGTTTTAGTGTAAGATCCAGCTTGGAGACTGCGGGGCCCACAGTCACAGTGGGACAGGTCACTGAGGTAAACAAGGACACCTTCTGGCCGATCGTTAAGGCTGCCGGGGAAAAAACCGTTGTCCTAGACATGTACACTCAATGGTATATATATGTTACTATGCTATGTATAATTATCACATGATGCTATGTTGGTGTATTATAATCATATATGGTCTTTTCCTTTTTATAATGTTATATTATATGATGGATTGGATCAGAATTGAAGAAAAAGAATCACACTTTACTGTTTAGTACAGCTACCTATGTTGTCTCTCTTAGCTGTGAGATTCCTTGGAACACATGATTAGCTTTGTGCTGATTTTGTCGAGAGTCAAGATCAACATTGATATCGATTATCAACTAATGCTTTAGATGAAAAGGGGAAAAAGAGGTATGAAGATCACTTTGTTGCCTACACATGCTTGGTGCAAATAAAATGAGGCCTAATTTGGATTGGAATTCCATTCATTTATAATTGTCACCCTCTAGCATGAAAATGTGTTGAAAGTGATTTTCCCACTCTACCGAGTGAGAAATCCAAGCTTGTTAAGCTTAGTCATGGTCAAGGTTTTGAAAAAGTCCACCCCACAATTATGGCCGCAATGTCTAGGTGATTGGGGTCATTGTAGCCACATCGGTTGCATTTATCTGCAATTTCCCATAATATCAAGGATCACAATGAAATTGTTACCGTGGCTGTAATTTAAAACCATGGTTTTAGTTTCACTCGTAATCAGTGTTGGCCTGTGCAGCATGGAATTGGTAACACAAACAGATACGGCAAACAAAATTTTACATAATATCATGGTTTGCATTTGCACAAGCTTTTTGTGGCTTATAAATTCTTGTTCGCAAATTATTGGTTTATAAATCCTCTGTCTACTGGTTTTCAATTCCTTTTCCAATCAATTGTAGATCAGGCTTACATTTCCTCGCAATATATCACAGAACAATATCACAGTGTAGTATATGCTTAAGTGGGGAAGGTTCATGATGAAACTCTGCCAAGGTCACACCTTGAACAAAAATACTAATGTTCATTAAATGAAAAAGGATTTGATTCCTCTAAACAGAGGAGTTCATTTTAGAGGAAAAAGTGAGAAGTTGTAACCAAGAAAATCAATAGAATGGTTTTAAAGAATCTTATAGTTTATTATTATAAAATGTGTATGCATTTGATCACAATCTTAATAGTCGATCTTCCTATCAATAGTTATAACTTCTTGCTTTTGAACAATAAAGTGGCCCTTTATTTTACTATAGATCAGCCAAATTTGGGAAAAGAAAAAACGAGGAGGCACTTTGCTGGTCAACAACATCAAACAAGGAATTTGATTAATGATAAAGTGGGAAATTGAGAATAAAGTGCCATGATGATAGTACTTAGGCCAAAGCTGAATGTTAAAATAGATATTTGGTGACGATGCTTTCCAGTCTGACATTGGTTGAAAGCTTCTCATTTTGGCTTTTGACATATAATTATGTGCCTATCTTTTTAGCAATTATTTGCTTATCAAAGGCCAATACATGCTGTACTCCTGTTATGAACTGTATTATTTTTTGGTATATGAAGCAAATGGACCCAAATCAGATCACTTGTATACATTCGTTGACAACTAGCTTTACCTGATTTTGCTTGCATTAGAGTATACTTTGTTTATTTTTCTCCATCATGTGCATGTGAGACATCAAGTTTTATGAAGATTTCATGTGACCCAAATAGTAATCAGCGTATTATTCAATCAGTTTAGAAAAGGAACAAAAACTGAGCTAGTACTAAAGGTTAATTTCAAATCTTAGGTTAATTTGATTTTGTCATTCTCTGGTGTGTTACTGCAGGAATATTTATTGAAATAAAGATCAATTGGTTGATCCTTTATGAAATTGTTATCCTACAGGATATTTGGATAACCTTGTATATGAATTTATGGGTTTTTTCAGGTGTGGCCCTTGCAAAGTGATGGCTCCTAAGTTTCAAGAATTGTCTGAGAAGTATTTGGATGTTGTGTTTCTAAAGCTTGATTGCAACCAAGACAACAAGGTATGGATATAATGTTTTTAATTTATTTATGAACACCTTTGCTTAAGCCTACAGCTAATTACCAATACTTTCCTTGAAAAACATGGTATTGATTGGTCAATGGTTGTTGGCAGCCCTTGGCAAAAGAGTTGGGAATTAAAGTGGTTCCCACTTTTAAAATTCTGAAGGACAACAAGGTTGTGAAAGAAGTTACTGGAGCTAAATACGATGATTTGGTGGTTGCCATAGACAATGTTCGATCTAGCTAAGAATATATATAATTATTGGCTTTGTGTAAAAATAATATGCTTGACACCCTTTGTAAGTATTTTATGCAATGTAATCTGATGATGTTTGGAAGATGAAGATATTTCATCGTGTGATTGGTTAACTCCTAAGCTCAAGGAAGAGTCCTTAATTATTTTTTGACTTTTTGTTGACAACTTGATCATGGGGTGTCTATAAACTGAACTGGCTAATATTTTAAAAAATAAAATAAAATAGGTTGATATAAATATGGATATTGAATTAGTGCTGTCAAGGTATATCTAATCCAGAGAGGTATTTTGGTATGCAAATTATTATTATTATCTTAATATTCCTAGCAATCAAAGTAATACAAAGTATCGGGATGTGAACTTAATTTTTATTTCAAAAGCTCTATAGCTTCCTTTATCCTCCTCTAATTCAATGTTCTTAGTCACAGCCTCGTATCTCTTTAGGACTGAAGTTCGTATATTTTATCTGAGAAGTTCATATAATAAGGACGTATATTTGTTGATGTGGATTACGACCATGTTTCTATGTTAGGTTTTGCTTGGATATGGATCATGAATAGAGTTCAAGAAGAATCTCTCACATTTCTTTATCCACAAAAAAATTATCAAAATTACGATGACTATAATATAATTCTAACTTACAACTCTTTGCATAGTTTACTATTCCAACCTCTCATCTTCATATAGACTCTAATAATTTAGAGAACCTCTCACATGAATACAAATTGTGTGGAATAAAATAAATATTAAAGAATTAGGATCCTTTTATACTAAATGTAAGTTTAACAATTTGTGTCATTTTTAATATCTTTTTGTATAATGCAAATTAAACTGAATCAACAATTGAATCACGTGACATTATATTCAAGATCATGTATATCGAATTTTTCATAATTTAAGCTTTTTTATGTATGTTATCTAAAATAGACAATTACACATTTTAAATGTCATATTATATGTTAAAATAAAACAATATGATGAAATAATAAATAATTTTGTAATCATGTAAAATTTAATATATATGATCTTCAATATAATATTACATAATTTAATTTAATGGTTTAATCAATTAAATTTACATTATACAAAAATTTATTGAATATACTATCTCCATTTTTATATATAAGACCCAATTACTTAATTCACCATAATTAAGAAAAGTAGTTAATTTAGTTTATAATAATAAATGTGTCTTATTTATATATATTTTTAGTCCTTATAAGGACTAAAATAATCTATTTTAAATTATAGGAATTAAAAATAATCGAAAAAGATAAATTTCAAGACTAAAAAGATTTATTTTAAACTATAGGGACTAAAATGTAAAATAAGTAAAATTATAGAGACTAAAAAAATAATTTAACTTTTTTTTTTCCTAAAGATACCCTTATACTATTTTTCTTTCCTAAGTAATATTCATATATTTTCTAATCAATTAGATTGCATACCTATATTATTTATCTCTCCTAATTAATATTCACTTTTTCTTCTAAACAATTAGAGTACATTTTAAAATTTTATAATTAATACATTTGATCGAACTAAAAAAAATAATTTAATTAAGGATGTTTTAGTCTAAAATAATTAATATATGAAATAATTATTTTAATTTGAGTCCTATAAATAAAACTGAAGGTAGTATAAGATTTAGTGTAAATTTTTAAACGTATATATAGTGTCAACAAATCCTAACTCAACATTAAATATATGACAACTTTAAATATTTTTCTTTGTAGAGCTCATAAATTTTAAGAACATTTTAATTACATTTTTTCTTATTTAAATTATGGTTTTATAAATTGGATTAAGAACATTAACAAAAGTGAAATTAGAATCATATCTTAAGATTTCAAATCCAAATTTTATGAATAAAAAATGTGATTGGAAAGCAAAACTTAAAAATGATTAATTAGATTTTTAAATAGAACTTAATCATCAATAAATTTAATAAATATTTTATGCCAATAATATAATGACAAATAAAAGAAAGAGATGATGCTCATTAGTTAATTTTATTTTCACCAATGAGATTGAAACACTTCATAATTCTATATTTATTTAATAAAATATTTAAAATTACTAATATTTGTTAGATCAACTGACAATGCATTTGATTTTTAAATCTTAAGATCTTGAGTTTGAATCTTATCTCTGTAAAAATGATTAATTTTTAATATAATTTTTATTATTTAAAAATTTAAAGATAAAATCATCTAAAAAATATGTACACCAAATTAAACTATCATCTTTATGTATGTTATAGATAAACTTATCTTATACACGCAATTTCCATAACTTAACCTCTTATTTATTAGATTGTTCATTTTTATCAAATAGTTCAAATAATTATTAGGGTTGTTTGAGACATTATTATAATTTTGTTATTAGTGTTGTTTGGATCTCTTAAAATATTATGTCATTTTTAATTTTTCAGTGTTATTTAGACTTTAGAACATGTATTATAACTCAAAAAATAATGTATTTCATTTATAAAAAAATTATTTTATTTTAAAATTTTAAAATGTATTAATAATTTAATCAATCAACCAATTAAGATTGGGTTAGATTGGACTGCTTAAAAAAATATCAACCTGATACAATTTAATTATATTTAATTTAGTTGAGTCTTGAATTTCACCCTACTTGTATACCTTCCTAATTATTTTATTTATCCTTTTTGTTTTTTTTTTTGGCTAACGTGCAACATACTCATCATGCATCGTAATCATGGAAGAATCAAAGACAATGGTTGCATGGAAAAAAACATAAACAAGTGATAGAAGGTGAATGTTGAGAGGGGTAGTTGGCTATGGGAAAAAGATCGATTGCTGATATGTGGAAGCTTGTGGGGAGCCAAAATCAAAGGTCATGTGGTACTGATAGAGAATCAGTTCTTGTGGTGCACGTTAAAGATCGAATCCGGTTATCTTCGTTCCTCAATTTGGATAATATTTGTCATATTAATCTAAAAAAGTAAGATATCAAGTAAGTTTATGAAAGTGTAAATTGATAATTGGATTAGTTCAAAGCTAAAATAATATGTGATTAAAATGATAATGATGATAAATATCAATGAGTTAATTAAAATGACGATAAACAATAAACTTTGAGATTTATTTGATATTTTTAAAACTTAATTGACATATTTTTAGTTTCAAATATTAATCTCATCGCTTATCACTTTTAGAAACTAATATGAGTATTTACTCGTTAAGATTAATTAGTATTTTATTTGCATATTTTAGTGGTTAATATTTATTATATATAACTAAAATCTATAATAAATAAATTATATATATACATATTAGATTTAAATTTATATATATATTATATTTAATTATATAAATTATATTTTAGATTTAAGATAAATAATTTATATTATGATATAAAATTATTTTTATGTATTAATAAATATTTTTAAAAAATTAAAATTTAATTCATAAATAAATATAAAATTTAATTAGATAAAAGGTTAAAAAATATTTAAAAACTTTTCTATCGAATAATAAATCCTAAAAACACTTTTGATATTTGTGTTTAATATATAAGAATTTAGTGAGTGAAATATTGATAAATTTTGATGAGTTTATTTAATATTGATATGTTTAATGTATGGACTATCAAATTATCTAACATGTAATATTTTTAAATATTAATTATCATTTTAAGATAATTAAATGTATTAATAGGATTGTTAAGAGTTTAAATAACTACCACTTGCCGTTTGAATCATTATTTAGAAAATATTTTAATATTCATAATTTCTTTACTTAAAAAATTAAAGATATTACATTTTGATATATATATTTTTTGATATTTGAGTGTTATAGATAAAATTTTCTTTTAGAGTTTACAATTTAATTAATTAATGCATATTTTCTTTTCTTTTTTAATGTTATGTTAGACATTATTCAATTTTTGTCATTTTGAAAAAGCTTTTTTTTTTTTCATAATTGATAAATTTTGTTAAAAAACTTCAATTACATTTTTTTGCTAAAAATTTTAAGATACTATGTTTGATTTGACGTTTACATTAATCACATTTGTATTTTAAAAAAAATAAAGTATAAGATACCAGGTTGGATATGAACAATATTACATCCTTAAAAAAAAGAGTTTGAATCATCCTTCGAAGATTAAATTATTAATATTTTTAATAAATTTATTATAAAAATAATTATTTAATTTATTATTTTTTAATTTAAATTAATATTTTAATGTTCAAAATGATTTTCGAAACTTACATCGGAAGGTTCTATCATTTTTCGGTTGGATATATACCTTATACTACAATATTTTTTTTTTTAATCCTTTGCATTGTACATTTGTACTTGTTAGAAGCTGTTTGCACTTAAAATTGATGAAAAAACATTCTATAAAATATCGAAACAAACGAACCTTATATCCAAACGAAAAATTCTGGCTACAGAATATAAGTTGATGGCGACATGAAAGGAAGTAGTCAACTTCGGCAGAATCGTAGTCACTATATTTTAGGAATTTTTTTAAACATATTTTAGGATTCTCATTTATGAGTTAGCTAAACTAATTATTAATTAATTACTTTTACGTACATATTGTAGTGATGAATTATTTAACTGTGTTAAAAAAAATTAATTACTATGATATCTACTTATAAATTTAATTATTTTACAAATAATTAGTCGTGATGAATCTTGTGTATAGACATTCAAATCCAAAAAAACACTATTATGAGAATACTTTATTTAATTATTATTTTTATTTTAAAGATTAGTCTTGTAATTTTGTTTGAACCATTAGGATAATATAGTAATGGAAATTGGGATGATATACATTAGATACTATGTTCAAATCTCTTTCTAGCATTGTAACTCCAACTTGATAAAATACAAAATCACAGCAACAAAAGAAAGAAATAATGTGTTTTTAAAATGGAAATAAGTTTATCACTTTTTAATAATATCTTAAAGTATTACAAGAGGTTGTAAAAAGAATAAAGTATTAATAGAGTTTAGTTTTCATATATTGATATTTTGTAGAGATTTTTATATCAACGATTAATTAGAAATCACTTTAAATATAGTATTTGAAAAAAAGTCAACAAATTAAACTGTAAATAATAATTTATGATTAAATAATAACATAAAAATATTTACATTATCAATATATTCTAATTAATTTTATGTTATATAATAATATAATTTTTTTAAATAAAAATAAATTATATTCAAACTTTTTCAAAATAAAGTTTGACATAAGTTGACTATTTTTTAAAATATGACCTGAATTTTAATTCTTTATAATTTATACTTTTAGAAAATATTAGTTGTCAATTGTCATATATAAAATAATCATGTGTACATATGTAACGATCTAACAAGTTACTATACTTGTTATTGATTGATTAATACATAACGAAAGTCTGAACATCATGCATCAGAATAAAAGTTTATAATAAAGTTAGTAACTAGTATTCTATATATACATGTTATATACAAAATATAATACTAATAGTAAAATAAACCTAAGCGTCAAACGACATCTATACATCATAGTAGCCAACAACAAAACTAGTCACCTTTAGCATGATTGTCCTCCTACTGCACAAACCATCCCGTTTATCTTGTCTTGTTCTCATACCAAGTATGATCATCACAAATTCAACTACAAGGAAAACACATGGTAAGTTTGTGAAAATTAATTCAAACATAACTTTATAAACATTATCATAGCTAAATATAACATACAAAAGAGTAACATCATCAGCATAACAACTAAACATCTTACAACATGTTTTAATATATCAACATTTATAACGCATCTAATGCATCATCACGCACATCAACTATGAATATCTCTTACAACATGGGGTGAACAGTTTAAGCGACTAAACCTTGGTATAAAACTAGAAAAACGACTGATACTAAGGTCAAAAAACAACAACTACCATAAGGCTAGAAAACAACGACTAATATAAGCTAGATTAATTTATCAGATTTTGCCACTTAAACTAAGAAGTATGATATTATGTTAAGGTGAAACAATTTGACTAAGAGCCTATCATGACATTAGTCTACAATACTAAGTCACCTATGGGATTAACCTATTGATTATCCTTCAAATATTATAACCCTTCGATACTAGGTTAGAGACTAAGTCCCCAACTTGGTACTTGGTTGGTCAGTTTATACATATGTCTCTCGACCTTACTCACACACAAATACTACATAAAACCTAAAGGGGACAATTAAAAAATAACTTACATATTCAAAGGCCAACTTACCTACTAAAGGGTGTTAATCAGACTGTTGAAGCACCGCAACGTATATCCACACAATGAGATATTCAACTTTCAAAAATAACTTTACTCACTTCTAATTTTTATGTATTGTAGTTAAGACATGTATTTAATCCACATATCTATAGCTTAACATCTTAACAACTTTATCAACATGCAACTTATACAACGTTCAAAACATATTAACTTAAACAACTTAAACAACATACATCTTTACAACATTTAACGTCATCGAGAATTAGCTTAAGCAACTTAAAACAACATACAACTTCACAATGTATTTTACATACTATAGATCAACACACATATCATCTTACATCATCATTCATACAACTATGTCATCATAAACAAACTATTTAAACAACTTAAACAATCAACTTTACATCATACAACTAAATAAAAACTTTAATAACAATTTCATATTATGCAACTTGTGCTTGACGCCACTCCCTGTCTCATCACAAGCATCCGATGTGATCGAGATAGAAAATGCCCTATACTCTTATGCCTAACGTGACAACACCCATGCTCGGTACCAATCAGGTAAAAAGCTCTTTGCTTGACTCGTGCTTGACACTTCTCCATGCACTAGCACCTGATGCATCCAAACAAAGACCAATCTTTCATCTCACACTCAATGTCATTCAATCCATATCCACCGTGATTCCAATACGAGACGAGTCTCTCACCTCATGTCCAAAACCATCAATCTTGCACTTGGCGTGAGTAAGACAAATATCTCTCTTTGGAGTTACACTCGACACTCTAAAGGCACATCCGATGTGATATCAATTCTGCACTCATTTAGACACACGATTTTGGCCCAAATTACCCGAAAATCAGTAACCTAGTGACATGCATTGCAACAAACAATATTTATACATCATATACAACATATTTACACCCTCATAACCAACATGCAAGCATCCAAACCAAGAATCATTATACTTTTCAACTTATGAACAACTCCCCCCCCCCAAAAAAAAAACCCACACCATACTCACAATCATCACATGATTTCAACTCTAACATCACAAAGTCAAATAACTAAAAGCAACACACTCACATTCATCATCAAGAAATTAAACACAAGCTTCCCTTACCTCTCAGAGAATCAATATGCAAGTTATTTCATTTAATAACTTATATTTTACATCAAAATTTAACGATTCAGCCGTTAAATTAAAAGTTTTTAAAATATAAGTCAAGTCTACAAAATTTTAAAAAATTTTAAAATTATTTTATACTTTGTTTCATTAATTTAAACAAAATGTATAAAATATTTTTATAATTATTTGTCAATTTGAATTAAAAAATGAAGTATTAAATAATTCTTATTTTTTAAAAGAATTTACAAATTTGATCTATACACTAAGAACTTTTAATTTAAATAATTTTCAACGAATGACCAATGAAAATTGGCATATAATTTAAATAATTTAACTAATATTTTAGCACATATATTGCACATGTTAAATATTTATTATATAATAATAAAATTTAAAATAATTATGTATATAAATAAATAGTATGTTTGAATATATATTTTTAAATATACTTAATGGATTTTAGATTTATGATAAACTATATTAAAATTTGTTTTTATCTCAAAAGTTAGTTTCATATCTCTCCCGTGAGATGAGAATCCTATGCTAAAACGATTCCCAGGAAGCCATTCATAGGAACAATGTTTCATAAGAATGTTATTTTTTAAATAACAAATCAAACACAAAACTAATAATCTTGTTGTCAAATTGTTAAGAGAGTAAAAACTTTTTATATATCATAAACTCCTTAAATTTTTTTTAAAAATCTTATCATTAAAAAAATCCTTAAAAATATTTTTATATAAGATAATCGTTGATATTTTATATGTAAAGATGCTTTATAGATAAATATCGATTAAATTTGAGGAATATATATTTAATTTCAACTAATCCCCTAGGTTACTGGCATTTGCCTCTCAATTTAATTTCCCAAAACATATTTATCATATACTTCCTCTGTTTTTTTTTTTATTTTTATAAAATAGCCAGGTTTTTAGTAAATTTCTGTTTTAAGTATAATAGCAACGTAAAAGTGTTAATTAATGTACATCAATATGATGAAATATTGCCTAAATAGCATGTCCACAACCAGAACTCATAGATAAGGGATGATTATTATTATTTTAATCTATAGAAATTAAACGTGACTACCATGAAAATTTATAACATTTGCATATGTGCTCAATGAACTGACTTAGACCCTGCCCCTTATAGGTAAGTGAGATTATTAAAAGTCAATTATAAATTTTCTAATTAATGATATGTTGACCTGTGAAAGTTGTCTATCTTTTGATAAATCAAAAAAAGAAAGTTGTCTATGTAATTATATATTCAAGATTTCTCCTCAAAATCACATTAACTTAGATTAATTTTATGTTAAGAAAAGTGATACCAAGAAACACTTTTTTTATTAGTTAAAATTTATAATTTTTGAGAAATTTATTAATTAGATATGATGTTTGATTTCTGTTTTTTTTTTTATAACTTTTTTTACTAGTTATATATTCAAAATTTAACTCAAAATATTTGTTAAATTAGATTAATTTTACCCGTAAGAAATATTAGCAATATTTTTTAATAAATTTTTTTTATTTGTTAAAATTAATAAAAATTATAAAATTACAAAAGGTTCATTAAATAGAACATGAGAATTATCACATTTTATATAATAAATTTCAATGAATCTGAAAATTATATTTAATTTTTTTAAGATAATATAAATTGATGAACGCGTTTTGATGGGTATAATAAAATAGGTAAAAAATTAATAATTAATATGATAATGAAAATGATGTAAGGCGAAAGGTGGTGAGGTAAGGAATCAGAGTTGAAGATGCATGTGTCATCTTTATCTTTTGTTGTCAATGGCGTGTTTGGTTACATGGAAGAAAAAAAAATGAAAAATTGGATAATGAGAGGATGCTATGCACATTGCAAAATGGGAAGCACTAAAGAAGGAAACTGAGAAAGCAAAAATGTCATGACATGAAAGGGAAGGAACGAAACAAACTGAAGGAAGCAAAGGACCAAAAATAAGAGAGAGAGAGAGAGAGAGAAAGTTAGAATTTTGAATTGCAACGTTGTTTATGGCGAAGCCTCTTAAAACATTTTCTAAAAAAACACCACATTGTACGAGACGTGTCGTTTGCCGTTGAAACCGCGAAATTCCCTCGTTCTTTTCTCTCTATTTCTCTTTCATACTTCCGTGTTTTACAAAGCGGCTTGCTTCGATTGCTTTTGTGTTTGTCTGTTTCGTCCCTTTCCCTCTTCGTTCCTTCATTCACCGGCCCTTGTTTCTATCTGGGTCGGCAATGCTTTTTAATTAGTCTATTTGTTTCTTCTTCTTCTTCTTCCTCTTCTTGTTCATTGTTGCTTTCTCTCGAAGCTACCCGGAATGGATCTCAGAGAAAGGTTCGTTCTTTCTCTTCTGGGCTTCTGTCTTCTCCAACTTTGTTGCCTTGTCAATGCCAATTTGGTGTTCCCTGTTGAACGCAAATTCAAAGGCCCTATCAAGAACCTTGCTGCAATCAAAGCTCATGATGCTGGTCGCCGCGGTAGATTTCTCTCCGCCGTTGATATACCTCTTGGCGGTAATGGCCGTGCCAATTCAAATGGGTTTGTTTGTTTCTCCTCTTTTTTCTCTTTTCCTTTTGTGTTTTGACATGCACATATTTCTTGTTTGCATTTTGTTTTTGTTGTACGAGATCACATGTATTCCTCCTGTGTTGTTTACCCGTTTGTTTTGTGCATGTGTGTGTTTTCTCCCATGAATGATTTGAAGGTGGTCACCAATTTTGATGTGTGGGCTTGGTGTTGTTCGTTGTGTTTGTTCAGGTTGTATTACACCAAAGTTGGGCTTGGCTCTCCTCCAAAGGATTTCTATGTGCAAGTTGATACAGGAAGTGACACTCTCTGGGTGAATTGTGCTGGCTGCACATCATGTCCCAAGAAAAGTGGTCTTGGTGTATGTTCTAGACTTATTTTACTGCATAAACATTCATGTCATTTGGTTGAGATATAAGAGTGTGTTTGGTCCTGATTCTGGACGTGATTTTCCATGTCAAAATTGAAGCTACCCGTTGTAGCTTTGCATCATGGACGTGAATTCATGATTGGATCCACTTATTAGATGTATGTCCAAACACACTAAGCATATAGAGAGTTGCCATGGTATAACTAGTATGGTACATGCTTGTTTTTGTTTTTCCTAGGTATTGGTATTGATGAGAGAATTGGATTTCCTACATTTGTGCATTAATGACTGAAACCATTGGATGAACATTGAACCATTCGCATTTTGGATACATATCATAAGTTGGATTTGTTGAGATAAAATACGAGTTTGTGATCTTCATCCAATGATTCTGTTTGGCTGAATGTGGAAAATCCTTGACTGCATAGTGCATAGAATCCAGATCCCTAGGGTAGAAAGAAGAGTACTAGAGAAGTCCCTTTGTGTGTGTGTGTGTATATATATATATAATAACATTTGAGGCATGCTTTACATGGTAAAATTTATAATGCTTGATCACTTGCCAGTGTAGGTTTCACTGTATTATTATTATTATTATGTTGCAGATGGACTTAACCCTGTATGACCGCAAGGACTCCAAAACTTCAAAATTGGTTTCTTGTGACGATGATTTTTGCACTACCACATATGATGGTCCAATTTCAGGCTGCACTAAAGACATGTCCTGCCCTTACAGCATAACTTATGGAGATGGAAGTACAACCACTGGATCCTATGTGGAAGATTATCTCACATTTGACAAAGTCAACGGTGATCTCAGCACTGTACCTGATAATGGCACTGTAATTTTTGGGTGAGTGTAATTTTTAATTCTTCATGTTAAACACACATGGTTGAGTTGGGGAAGTAGATAGATGACTTGATGAATAATTGAACCTTTGACATCATCACATCACAACCTTAAAAACTGGTGCCAATGGCAATCGAGCTAGAAGCTCATTGGCAAGTTATAGTCTAATATTGCAAGCCTCAATAGGATCTTATGTCAATGTTGCTGAATTTGACAAGTTCTTATTGTTGCTTCTCATGGGAGAATTCTTCTCTGTCAATAACCACAACTATTTAACTGTTTCTACAAGATTTTTCTTGGGGAATCTTGAGCAGTGTCTTAATTTTATTTATCTATTGCATTAAAGGAAAGTCTTGGAGGATGCAAGTGTAATGGTTGGAGTTGTCGCCATGTGACCTTAAGGTCACGGTTACTCTTCCCTGGATCCTGTGCATAGCAGGTGTTTTATAGCACCAGGATTCCCTTTTTATTTTTGGGAGTTGGGAGTTTCAGCTTATCTTTTTTGTTTATGCTTGCTAGGTTGGTAAATACATAAAGAAAAATGCCACCATTGTATTTGGGTTTTATGTTTTCCTGAGTATTCACTTGCTGATAGGTGTGGTGTTAAACAATCTGGGACATTGAGTGCAACTAATGATGAATCTCTTGATGGAATAATTGGTTTTGGACAAGCAAATTCTTCCGTGCTTTCACAGCTTGCTGCAGCTGGAAAGGTGAAAAGGGTATTTTCACACTGCCTTGACAGTATATATGGAGGAGGAATATTTTCCATAGGGGAAGTGGTGCAGCCAAAAGTTAAGACAACTTCATTGGTACCGCAAATGTATGTGCAGATTTCTTGTAATTGTATTTGATTTGATTTGTTGTTTGAGAATAGGAATTTGATGGATCAGTGTGGTATCTATTTAATGATAATACCACTTCTATTTAACTTCCGGAGAAGCATATATATTAGGTTTTCATAAATTTAATTTTTCTGAAGACTCTTGTTGACTCAGGAATTCTTAATTCTCTAGTCAAATTTAGCAAAGGCCTATTGATTATGGTATAAAATTCATCAGACGATGAAAATAATGTAAATGTGAGATATAAGTACACAAATAATCTGTATTGGGTCTTTAATTGTATATTGCCATATAATATGTTGGTTCTCCTCAATGTCATTATTGTAGATGTATCAAGCAATCAACCTTTTCAGGCTCTTGCTTTTCTTTTTACCCCTGTTTAAGATCTTGTTGGAGTTATTTACGATTTAAAATTGAAACAATATTTCTTTGTGGTTACTGTAAGAAAAAATTGCATGTGAAAATTTAGCTCTCTTTCTGTTGCCAGTATACTATATACATACATACATATATATATATATATATATATATATATATATATATATGGTCCGTTTGTTTTATGTGGTCCACTTGAGGGGCTAATGAATCCCATAGACAACTGAATAAAGTTTTTTTTTTTTTCTTTTATTCTTGTAAGGTCTTCATCTTTAGGTAGATTCGTTGTGCAATCTGTGATATAAGCAATAAAATTTCAACATAAGAGCTTTGGCATATTCTCTTGCAGATGTTATATCATATTCTTCTAATGTTTTTATATAAAGTTTAGGTGTTGGTAATGGAACTATGTCATAACTGTAGTCTACTGGCTATTTTAGGGCACACTACAATGTGGTTTTGAAGGACATGGAGGTTGGTGGGGACCCTATACAGCTCCCAACTGATATATTTGATTCTTCAAATGGGAGGGGAACAATAATAGATAGTGGTACAACCTTGGCTTATCTTCCAGCCTCGATTCATGAACAGCTAATGGATAAGGTAAGAGTAATTCTAATAGTTAAGTAAATCAGTTTTTTCCACTTGAATTCTCATCCTTATTCTTTGTTATAGATTTTGGGTCAGCAGAAGGATCTGAAATTATATCTTGTTGAGGAGCAATTTACATGTTTCGAATTTGCCGACAGAGAGTACGATACTCATCTTTGTTACTTGATTTTACTTCAATATAAATGGGAAATTTTGTGTTTCTCTTTTCTTTTGAAATAAGCATCACTTTGCAATATTAACATGTGATGCTCTTTTTTGTTTGATTTGTCACTGTTTAATTGACATATACACCTTATTTCTATAATTTATTGGAGATACTAAGGTTTATTTTTTTTCTTGGTTGTTTAATCCATAGGGTATGGTGATGTCAGGTTGTCATTTAAATTTATCTTCAAAAATATCGAGCTACCACTGTTTTGATAGTATTAGTTATCAAATACTCTGGAGTATGCACTATGCAGGGGGTAAATGACTGTGGCAAAACAAAGCAACTGTTTCTTTGTATTATTTTTTGAACTTTAGCAGTGACATAGCTTTGACATAATCAATTGTTGACTTTAAGATTACTTGTTAGATTCTTGATGAAGTGAATGAATCTGGTAGTATTATATGGATTATTCTTATACAGCCAAGAATGCATTGTTTAGGAAAATAGTTGTTGAGTTGGTTGAATGATTATCAACAAATAATATCTTGTATATAGATAGGAAAACAAATAATCTGTTCGTTCAACTTAACTATTAAGTATATAGAAAAAATTTCCTTCCACGTGTATAAAGAATTTTATACCAGAAGACAATTATTTGTTCTAGACATGATAGTCTTATAAATACAGAAATAGTAATTGGGAACAAATTGTTCAAATGATATTATGATATATAAAATATATTCTCAAAGTGATTTAAGTTTCATCAATTCAAGAAGGCAGCGAGTTCACTTTTATTTTCTTGTATATGATGAGCTCTTAACATGTTGACTATTGTAATTTTGCAGTATTGATAAGGGATTTCCATCTGTCAAGTTTACCTTTGAGGATGGGCTTACTCTGACAGCATATCCTCACGATTACCTGTTCCTCTTTAAAGTGAGTGGGAACTTGATTAATTCTATATGTATACAATTTCTGATTTGACAACCTTTGTTGCTGCTTGACGCTCAATCACTCAAACAATATAATAGTTTATTTTCATATGAAAACTATACTATCAAGTTTTTTACGTAGTGGAATTGAAAATTAAAGTTTGTTTATGTATTTCCTTTCACTGTTGATTACAATTATAATTTAAGTTGCCATGTGAGAGTTTTACAATGTTATTTGTGTTTGAAAATGTATGCAACTTTTTACTTTGAAAATTTGATAAATTTTCTTCAGGTGTTCAATAGCACTATTTCTTGATATTATTTTGTCTGTCATTGTCCTCCAGACTGACATGTGGTGTGTTGGCTGGCAAAAAAGTGTGGCACAAACTAAGGATGGAAAGGACCTAATTCTTCTTGGAGGTAAAGTTTGTAATTAAGATTCACTTATAATTTAGTCTATTGACTTACTGATATAATGTTGTAAATGGCTTGATTTGTTTATTTAGTCCTTCTTAATTAGCTGTAGAGTCTGTTTCTGTTAAATAGCTAATTTTGTTAAATTAAAAACTTTCATATTGTTATGTTTTTACCTTTACTGCTCATTATGGTTAAACATGTTGACTACCATCTTGGAAATTAGTGTCATTGAATGACTATCATTTATTTACTCTGAATTCTTTCCAATTGCAGATTTGGTGCTGTCAAACAAATTAGTTGTATATGATCTTGAAAACATGACCATTGGATGGGCTGAATACAATTGTGAGTGCCCTCTTATTTATTTGCTAAATTTACAAAGGTTGTTCCAATCATATATCACCTGGGGCTGGGACTGTTTCTTTCAGCACTCTCTTTTATGGTTAAATTTGTTGATACTGACATGTACTAGAATGACCTTAGCATTGTTTTCCTTGATTCTTTAGGCTCTTCCAGCATTAAAGTGAAGGATGATAAGACTGGATCTGTATATTCAGTGGGTGCACACGATCTTTCTTCAGCCTCAACCGTGTTAATGGGAAGAATATTAACGTTCTTTGTGTTGCTTTTTGCCATGCTAAGCACTTGATTAACTTGTAATATTTTATCGAGAGATGGCATTTATTTCATTCTGTTGTAACATAATTCCATAAATGCTGAGTTTTGATGCAATAAATCAACCATTTCTCGTGTAGATAGAAAATATAAGTGAGATTTCATTAAAAAATAAATAAAATTGAAGTGAGATTAGTCCTCGAAGAATACCTTTAAAAATTAGACTTTGACAAAAGAAAAGAGACACTCCGATTCAAGGGGGGAAAAAAAAGGTAAGAAAGGAGAGAGTTTTCAAAGTTCTTTTCAATTACCTCCTTGTATAATTTTTTAAAGGAGGAATCGGGAAGGTATAATATTTTAATGATGCAATATCATGTTTTCTGATGAATATTGTTCCATGCGAAGATCGTTAAAAAAACTGTATCATAAAATTGTCATATTCATTATGTAAGTTCCACTAACTATTGCTCAGTAAATCACCATCACCCTCCAAAAGTAAAACATGAAATTTGTATCTGTTTTGAAATCACATTTTAAAACAGTGTAGTCGTAATTAGTTGTCATTGAAGAAGTGAGTGGTAGGGTGTTGTGTAGGTTCCATTGGAAAATTAATATTACAATGTTTATGGACCATTTAGAAATTAAAGATCAAGTAGTATAAGTTGATTAAATTGTTTTAAACTTTTTTTTTATTATTTCTATTCGATATTCATTGATTAAATTATCAAATTTCATCAAAAATAACATTCATTCTTTTTTTTTTTATTACAAATATCTCACTTTATGTAAAATCTTTCAAATTTTCGTTAAATTTAGAGTTTAATTTTCATGTTAGTGGTATAAAGAAATTTTAACTGTTATCTAATTAAAAATCATCTTATATATAACTCTTAAAATTTATTAAATCAACACGCTTATTATACATAATATATATATATATATAT